GTTCGGCTTCAAATACTGGGGGCCATAACCCCAAGGTTAAGATCCTTAGAAAGGGAAAATATTGTATGCCAAGGCTTGGTGATTAGGATTCATTGTAAGGGTCGAACGGTCATACGAAGCGACCCATGTAGCTCACTCTAGCCACGGTACAAGGCTTATGCGCCTCCGATTATGTACCCTACATATAAAACAATCTTTGCTTCCCTCATACTTTATTACTATGCATTTCGCTTCTCTGATGCTTTATAACGGATCCTACATCCTAAAGCCCACGGGGTACTCTACTCGGGGACTATCGTCCGATAAAAATTTCGGACGGCCCGGGCTATCAAATCCCGGAGGCACCAAGCCTATTAGGGAGTGCCTGAATTCGAAAGGCTACAACCACCGTAAAAATGGCTCGAAGACATCTGAAGTCCGTATTCAGAAAGTAAGGCCCTTACGTATAATCAAAACCCATTAAAAGGTTACCCTCGGCAAAAACATCGTCGTATATGACTAAAATATTTAAGCATCTTAAAGGCCTTTGATTTTATCCAAATCTTGAAGCCACGAGTAATCTGGAATTGGTATCAAAATCGGGCCCCATTCGGGCCTCCGAAGAATGAATACTATAGATTACGTTTGATTCTATGCTAAGACATTAAGAATGATATTCAAATAAAAAATTGCAAAGAGATGCTGAAAAGTAAGAACGTGGTATTGCCAAAGGGGAAAGTTTTATATATTTCAAAAAATATTTACAAAGGCACGATAAAATGGCCTCAAAACAAGCAAGAAAGAAAATGTACAAAAGGAAAACAAAAAAGAACTAAGACATCTACGCCTGATCTTCACCAGAGCTTGACTCAGCACCGGAGCTTTCCCACCTCTCATCCAATAATCCAGGCTCGTGGTCATGGCCTTGTCGTTTGACTCGTCGGTAGCATACTAGGACATGAGGCTCGGTTCCCCTACCTCGACTGGTATTGAGGCTTGCGCTCCATAAATTAGAGAGAACGGGTCGCCTCGATACTTGACATCGAAGTCGTACGGTATGCCCACAGGACTTTGGGAAAGATTTCCTTCTACTTTCCTTTCGAACCGATCAATCTCTTTTTCATGTTTTGGAATATAGTTTTGTTCGTCGATTACGCTTGGCCGTTCCCACTAGGGTGGTAAGGCGTTGATAATATCTTCTTGATCTTGTGGTCTTCAAAAACTTATTTACCTTGCTGCCGATGAATTATTTTTCGTTGTCACAAACGATCTCGACCGGTATCCCAAATCGACATATTATGTGATCCCAAATAAATTCAATGACTTCTTTCTCCCGGACCTTCTCGAAAGCATGAGCCTCGACCCATTTGGAAAAATAATTGGTCATGAATAGTATGTATTAGACTTTACCAGGCGCCCATCGCAGGGGACCGACGATTTCCATTCCCCACTTCATAAATGACCATGGTGACAGGACCGAGTGACGCATCTCTCCTAGTTGATGAATCATCGGGGTGTGTCTTTGGCATTCGTCGTATTGCCGTACGAAGTCTTTTGCATCCTTCTCCATTTCATTCCAGTAGTAGCCGGCTCTGATTAGCTTCCGAAATAAGAATTCTACCCCCGAATGGTTCCTGCAAGTGCCCTCGTGGACCTCTCTCATGGTGTATCTCGACCTAAGCACCTAGCCAGTGGGCCAAAGAAGGATCTTCTGAAAAAGGCCCCTTCGACTAAGCTAAATCTGGCAGCTTTGGTGCGCAAGGCTCTCGATTCCTTGGAATCCGATGGCAATTTTTTTGTCTTCTGGTAGTCTATGTATTTGTTTCTCCAATCCCAAGTCAAACTTGTCGAGTTTACTTCGGCGTGACCTTCTTCTACAACCGAGTTCATCAGCTACACCACTACCCCCCAGCTAATTTCATCAGAGTTGACAGACGAACCCAAGTTGGCCAGTGCATCGGCCTCACTGTTTTGATCTCGAGGTACGTGCTGCAGATTCCATTCCTTGAATTGGTGCAGGGTTACCTGCAATTTGTCCAAATACCTCCGCATACGTTCCTCTTTTACTTCGAACGTTCCGTTGACTTGATTTATGACAAGAAGGGAGTCACATTTGGCTTCGATTACTTTGGCTCCGAGGTTCATAGCCAGTTCTAGACCAGCAATCATAGCTTCATACTCGACTTCATTGTTAGTTTAACAGTTTCTAATAGTCTGTCTAATTACGCTGCCCGTGGGATGTTTTAACACGATACCGAGCATGGACCCTTTTGCGTTGGATGCACTGTCCGTGAATAGGGTCCAGATCCCCGAATTAGTCCACGAGGTAAGCAGCAATTCCCTTTCGACCTTGGGTATCAAGGTCAGCGTAAAGTTGGCCACGAAGTCTGCCAAAATCTGAGATTTTATGGCAGTCCGGGGTCGATACTCGATATCGTACCCGCTGATATCCGTGGCCCATTCGGCCAGCCGGCCCGAGAGGTCGGCTTTTTCATGATATTCCTCAGTGGGTAAGAGGTTACGACACATATGGGGTGGCATTGAAAGTACGGTTTTAGCTTTCTGGAAGCACTTAGTAAGGCGAGTTCCAACTTTTCTAGCTGAGGATACCTTGTTTCGGCATCGCCTAGGGTTCTAATAACATAATAAACAGGAAATTGCATACCTTTTTCCTCCCTGACTAAGATACCACTTACCGCCACCTCCGAAACCGCCAAGTAGAGGTACAGTTGTTCATCTGCCTTCGGAGTATGCAGCAAAGGTGGGCTCAACAAGTATCGCTTGAGTTCTTCCAAAGCTTGCTAGTATTCCAGAGTCCAAGAAAACTGTTCTTCTTTTTCAATGGTGAGAAGAATTGATGGCTCTTATCCGACGACCTCGAAATGAATCGGCCTAACGTGGCTATTCGCACGGTCGGTCTTTGAACCGCCTTGACGTTGTCGATTATGGTGATGTCTTTTATGGCCTTTATTTTGTCGGATTTGATCTCTATCCCCCGATTAGATACCATGAACCCGAGAAACTTGTCCGAACTGACCCCAAATGCATACTTCTCCGAGTTTAGCTTCATGTTGTATATCCTTAGTATGTCGAAGGTCTCCTGCAAATGGTTCAAATGGTCCTCTGCTCGCAGAGACTTGACCAACATATCGTGAATATTAATTTCCATTGATTTTCCTATTTGTTCTTCGAACATCCGATTTACTAGGCTTTGGTATGTGGCACTGGTGTTCTATAGTCCGAACAGCATCACATTATAGCAGTAGGGGCCGAACTTTGTTACGAAAGAAGTCTTCTCTTGATCGTCCGGGTCCATCCAAATTTGGTTGTACCCGGAGTAGGCATCGAGAAAACTGAGTATCTCATGTCTGGACGTCGCTTCGATCAATCGATCGATGTTAGGAAAAGGGAAAGAATCCTTCGGACAAGCCTTGTTTAGATCCTTATAATCTTCATACATTCTCAGTTTATTCCCCTTTTTGGTACTACCATTACATTAGCTAATGATTCTGGGTATTTAACTTCCCGGACGGAACCTATTTTTAGAAGTTTGGTACCTCATGCTTGATAAACACGTGTTTGATCTCGGACTGTGGCCTTCTCTTCTGTTTGACCGAATGGAACTTCGGATCCAAACTTAGCTTGTGAGTGGTTACCTCCGGTGGGATCCCTGTCATGTCTAGATGGGACCAAGCAAAACAATCAGCGTTAGCTTTAAGAAAATCAATAAGTTTTTACCTCAGCTCGGGGGTTAACTACATGCCCAAGTATACCTTTCGATTCGGTAGGTGCTCGACCAATATGACTTTCTCCAACTCCTCGACTGTTGATTTGGTGGCGTCGGTTCATCGAGAGCTATGAATGATCATGGGACATCGTAATTGTCCTCATCATCCGCTCCAAGTTCTTCCTATTTTTCCCGTTTGGCTGAGGTCGGCATTGTTGATTTCTATTTGGTCCCTTCTTTTTTCGCCGGTCCCGCGCTTCTCGGTATTGAGACAGAGGGTAACGGGATCACTTCATCAACAACAAATATTTCCTTTGCGGTCGACTTCTCTCTGTAGACTGTTTTAACTCCCCCCCCCCCCCCCGCTGTGGGAAATTTCAGCACCTGGTGTAAGGTAGAAGGTACTGCCCTCATGTTGTGGACCCATGGTCTTCCGAACAATGCGGTGTACCTCATATCCCCTTCGATCACGTAGAACTTCGTTTTGTGGGTTGTCCCAACGGTGTTCACCAGCAAAGTTATCTCCCTTTTCGTGGTCTCACATGCCATGTTGAACCCACTCAATACTCGGACTGCCGGTACCATTTGATCCTGTAACCCCAGTTGCTTTATGACCCTTGATCTTGATGTTGGCCGAGCTACCTGGATTAATCAATACATATTTAACGCGAGTTTATTGATAAGCACAGATATTACTAGTGCATCGTTGTGAGACTGTATGATGCCCTCAGCGTCTTCGGCGCTGAACGAGATTGCTCCCTCCGGAACGTAATCTTGGATGTATTTATCCCTCATAATAGACACTTTAGTGCGTTTTATCATTGGCCCTTGGGAGACATTGACTCCCCCAATGATCAAGTTGATCACATGCCGAGGCTCCTCTTGTTCGACCTGCTTGTTGGCGTCCTTGTTCCTGAAGTGGTTTTTGGATCGCTTGCTCAGGAATTCTCGGAGGTGCCCATTGTTGAATAAACGAGCAACTTCTTCTCTTAATTGTCAGCAATCTTCGGTCCTATGACCGTGAGTTTCGTGAGTGTCGTGATCATGTTGATCATGTTCAGTGTCGTGACAAAGACTCCCCCGTGATCATGTTGAGTGTCGTGACTGTCACACCCCTTTTTCACATTTAACCCTCTTTAAAATAGATAAAGTAATTTTAAAGCTCAAAAGGGTTTTCAAATTGAAAGTGACAAAAGATTGTGCTTAAAAGGATTTTTCAAAGTCGCCATTTGACACTGAGAGAAAACAAACACAAAAGGTTCAACATTGTCCCCACCTAAATAAAAGAAGAAAATGAAAAGAAAAAAATACTAAAATTCTATACAATCATATACCAAAGCTTCCTCGATGATGTCCTCATTTACTTCTATTTACATATATTGCGGGGCATTTTCCTGAATAAAATAATATTTACAAACTTTTCAGGGCATTCCCCGGATAGAATAATAAACCAAGGGACAACCTCTAACCTCAAATGAAATGAAAAATTCTAAAATTTGCCTACCCAAGTGTGGTTGGCCTAAAACATGCTCCTAACGTTTAAGAACATAATTAAAGCAAAAAATTAAAAATTCACGGTCTGATTTTTCATATTTAACATCACCCCACAGCCCAATTCAAGCAATTTTCACTCTTTGTTCATAACTTTCTCTTGTTTGCAATTTCTCAGAAACCATCAAACACATAGAATCACTCCATCATATGAGCGAACAAAATAACAAGTATCAAAAGAAATGACTAAAGCAAGATAAAGGCCCATCTGTAACTATTAATTGTATTACTTTAACACTTAAATTAACTTACGATAGAGAAAATTATTTGAACACAATGATGATCGAAAACGTAACACCTAAAGGAGAACATTGACTTTTAAATACTCCAAAATCAGGGAAAAGAGAAAGAAAGAATAAAAAACGAAAAACTAAACAGTAAGGATCCAAAGACTACAGGAGTTTTTCAAACCATCTCAATAACTAACTGAAAATCCAAAAATCTAAAGGAAACACTACTACCAATATGGACCAAAAGTACATCTACAAGATTAAATCCTCTTTCCAAAAAGTGATGACCAAAGAAAACCTCAAACCGTGGCAAAATAACCTACTGATATACTATTAAAAAGGAAGAATGCCAACAAAGAAATTAAATTTTCAAAATATACTACTATAAAGTAGCAGAAGAACTGTAAAATAATATATGCATATAAGAATAGAAATTCTAATACCTTTGGTTTAAGAGCTTTTAAGTCTACCTTAATTTAACAACTAATCACATATGGACACTTATCTTGCTCTTAGATCATTCAACATATAAGCAAGCACATAAGTAAGAACAGAGAAGAGAGGGACCTTTAAGTAGCTTTCTTCAATATATGAGTTTGATTACAATGAACTCTGGCGAAGCAGATCTGGACCATACAATAGAAACAGCAACGGAGGGGTGGAACCATCAACCGCCAACGGCAGCGGGAATACCTCAAGCATAAACCAAATACAACCACCTTAAGCTAAACTCCATTTTTATTTTTCTTCTTAGAGATGACTACATTAACTATGAAATAAACTAAAGGGTGAATGTTTTCTTCCCTTTTCTTTTTTTTTTTTTTTTGAAATCGGGAGATTTACTAGCAAAAGTAACTATTCATTTTTGGTTTTCTTTCTCCAAACTCCAAGGAAATAGAAAGGGAAAAAGTTTTTTCAAACTTTGACTCCAAGTTTTTGCTCCTCTCGAACTTGTATGGGTCAAACCTAGATTAGAGAAATTCGGCACACGGAGACATAAGGTCGTGGTCAGGTAGGTCAAGGTCAGACCGTCATCAACAACTAAGGTCGTGGTCAGGCAGGCCAAGGTCGGACCGTCATCAATAACTAAAGTCGTGGTCAGGCAGGCCAAGGTCGGGCCGTCATCAACAACTAAGGTCGTGGTCAAGCAGGCTAAGGTCGGACCGTCATCAAACAGCTAGTTTTCATTGGAATGCTCAAAAGGAATATTCTACCGAATATTCCCTCAAAATTGTACCTTTTTTTCGGATTCTCTCCCCATTTATAAATAGGAGGGGGGAACTTCCCAAGAAAGGGGGGCCCTCTCCCTCTCCCTCTCCCCCTCTCTAGAAAATATGTAGACACTTCTCTTAAAAGAGAAAAAGAGGATCTGTGATCCAAAAACTCCATGAGATCCAAAAAGAACCCTAAGATTTGTGTATTTATCTATCATTCATCTTTATCTCTATCAAGTGAAAGAGGATCCGCCTCGCTCAAGATCAGGTGAATCCTTTCCTTTATTTATATTTTATTGTCACTTAATGCTACTTAATGCATCTTTATTTATGCTATTAAATCTGATAATAATTGCTGTCAATATTTATATTTGACTATGTTTTTTTATTTCTCCTACTCATCTCGGATCTAGAGTTAATTATCTTTAAGTAGGATTTACCCATTCATCTTTATTGATTGATTTGCTTAAAAAATATTTTACAACTTTTAAATCAAACAGAACTCTCCTCCCTTTTTGACTCCAATCTCACCTTTTTGTGTTGCTCTCTCTTTCTCTGAATATTCGTCTCTGTTCTAATCTCTCTCTATTTTTTGGCTCTTTTTTCCCTTCCCAAACTCCTCTATTCGTCTCCCTCCACCTGTTTTCTATCGTGCCCCCATTTTTATCCCTTCCCTGGGTGAGTGTGTGTATTAGAGAAGAGGAAAAATAGTCTTCTAAGAAAGGCGTGTGGACCCCACTATTAAAATAAAATCAGAAAATATTCCTTTTGCTTGTGCTTGTGTGCATGTGTGGGGCCAAGTTTGTTGCGATAAGAATCCTACCCAAAATTAGAGGTAACGTTCCAATTTGCTTCCTCTTTTAGTTCTTTTTTCTTTCTTTTTTTTGGTTTCATCTTTTGTGAACAAAATCAAGAGTAAATATAATAATAATAATAATCATAACAATAATAATAATAATAAATATAAAGTATGGAAAACTTAACAAAAAGTCTATATTTGGACGTATGAACTAAAGAAAACACTCAATATTTCTTCTATTTTAAAAAATTAAACTTAGTCCTAAACTTAAAGAAAAATAGTTTCTGTAGTTTTTATTTTTAAGATAAAATTAAGCAAAAAGGTCAAAAATAATCAAAATAGCAATACTAGACATAAAACAAATATCTAAACACTAAAATGAGTAAAATTTCAGGAAGGGTCAAAAATTACATGTCTACAGCGACATAGACTCCCCCGATGATCATGTTGATCACGTAGTGAGGCTCCTTTTGTTCGACCTGCTAGTTGGCGTCCCTGTTCCTAAAGTGGTTTTTGGCCCGCTCGCTCATGAATTCCTGCAGGTGCCCATTGTTGAATAACCGAGTAATTTCTTCTCTTAACTGTCGGCAATCTTCGGTCCTATGACCGTGAGTGCCGTGATACTTACACATCAAATTAGGATCTCTCTAGGTAGGGTGTCACGACCCTGGTTCACCCTCCGTGAACCATCGTGACGGCACCTAGTCTCTATGACTAGGTAAGCCTAACAATGCGGAATATAAACAATAATTGCGGAAGAAATAACTAAAACCGGAATAATAAGAATAAACAGTGTTTAAGGTGCCGCTCGGCACATACAATAACACCTCTCGAAGCTAATAGAATTCCCAAAACCCGGAATCTCACAAATCACAAGCTATGAGATACATAAGAAGCTCTAACTCCGGAAATATCTAAACAAGGGATAATACTGAAAGGGGCTATATTTATTACAGAAGATAGAAAGGGACTCCTCGGTCTGCGGACGTAGCAGATATACCTCGAAGTCTCTACAGAACGCCTCTTCCCAAGGATGATAGAACTGAATGGAAAATACCTGGATCTGCACAATAAAAATGCGCAGAAGAGTAGCATGAGCACACCTTAACAGCGGTGCCCAGTAAGTATCAGGACTAACCTCGGTGGAGTAGTGACGAGAACAGTCGAGACACCTACCGGTCTAATAAACAGTGCAATGATAGGAACAACGGAACATGATATATATTTATATAAAGACTGTACGAAATGACCAACAATGCTACAATCACAATAAGGGAAAATAACAACAAGTAACAACAAAAATATTAAGAGTGATGACACATAAGAACGGGCAAAAACTCATCCCAAATCCTAAAGTCACAATACAGTTAAGGGAAAACAAAACAATAACTCAGATCCTACGACGGTGTTCACATCAGGTCTTATCCAACAATTACCACGAATTACTGAATCTCGGACAATTACAACTCACGAGACCCAGTACCTGAAATCTAACAACTGGCATCCCGTGCCCTCATCAGTCTCACGGTCACACTGACAACTCACTTGCTAACTAGGGCCACTCTCGCATATATGATAAGTAACGGGGGCGTACATCTTTGTTTAGCAAAATCGGGGGACTTTACGCACAATAGGAGTGTTCAACTACGTGTATACTTGTGCAAGTGCTTTAACATAATTTCTACCAGCTAATAAGCGTACGAAGAACAAAAGGCAGCACGTACAATGTTTTCCTCACAACTTCCACGAGACAAAACCCATACAGGTAAGCGACCCACAATCACAATATTAAATAAAAATAAGACTGCCCCCACAGGCCGTCATAAATCCTTACAATAAATCCCTGACATAGCCCACCTTATTCCGCCACGCGTGCAACAATAACATAATAGGTGCCCGCCTTGTTTCGCCACGCGTGCATCATAATGTTCCCACCTTATTTCGCCACATGCGCAACCCACATACAAGCACATATACATATCCCGCCTTGTTACACCGCATGTGCAATATATGAATAGTAGCAATAGCACGGCAGAAACCTCGTGCGACTCCACAACAACAATCGCATGGCAGAAACCTCGTGCATCACAATATCAACAACCGCACGGCAGAAACCTCGTGCATCAACACCCCAAGTACCACAGCAACAATGACAATATTTACAAGAGCACAACAAGTGAATCAACTCAAGAATCTTTCGTTCACCAGGTGACGGTAAAACTAGCTCACAAGGAATAACCACAATAGAGAATACTAAACGTAATCAGAACAACTCAACAAGGGAGAAAATAATTTGAAGCAACGACCCCATAGCATGTAGTTCAAACGACAAGGGAGTTAACAAGAGTCAAGTAAATTTCTAAAATGGAAATATCAACTAAACATAGAATATCTACTCTTCCTTTAAAGGTTGGGCAGGTTACGAAGGATATGCAACAATTTCAATTAAGACTAATAATTACATGGGAGATAATAATGATTTCCAATAAAACAAGCAGTTATGAAAGATGACGTGACAATAGAGGAGGTAAATATTTTCAGTTAAGCAAGGTAAGAGTCAATTAGGCAGTAAGAATGAATCATAAAGCAATTAATTCCAAGTAAAACATGTAGAGGTGAAACTGGTAATAGGAAATTCAATCATATCAAGAACAACTTCATGCTCAGTGAATATAAGGACCTAAGAATCCTAAAAGGCCAAGTTTCCACAAATAAGTCCGAGCACACACTCGTCACCTCGCGTACTCGGAGTACAATCAACAGAGAAGACTCAAATCCTAAGGGGAAGTCCCCCACACAAGGTTAGGCAAGATACTGACCTTGAACAAGTGCAAGTCAACCTGAAACCACGCTTTTGCCACGAGTATCTGACTCCAAGTGGCCCAAATCTATTCAATTCAATTGGACATTGTAAATAATACTTCAAGTAACTGATTCTACAATTATATTCTAAGCTAATACGCGAAATTATGTGAAATGACCAAAATGCCCCTCGAGCCCACATCTCGGAATTGGGTAAAATTTATATTTCCAGAAACCTCGCACTCTCACGAGTCTAAACATACCAAAATTATCCAAATCCCATAACGTTTCGACCCTCTAATCATAAAATCTATCCAAGAGGGTTTTCTAAACTTTTCCAACTAAATTCACGGATTTAATGCCAAAACTTGTAATAGATTCGAGTTATCTAACAAAAATTAAGTTAAGAACACTTACCCCGTTGTTTTCCTTGAAAATCTCTTGAAAAATTGCCTCACCCGAGCTCCAAATTGGTAAAATGGAAAAATGAGACGAAGTCCCATTTTCTGAACTTAAAATATTATGCCCATGGATTTTCGCATCTGCGGAAAATATACCGCATCTGCGGTTCCATATCTGCGGAAAATATACCGCATCTGCGGTTCCGCATCTGCGGAAAATATACCGCATCTGCGGTTCCTGAAGGAATGACCCCAAAACCTCTTCTGCGGCCCTTTAGCCGCTTCTACGGTGCTGCATCTGCGGTTCCCAAGCCGCAGATGCGAAAATACCAGAAGCAGCAATACTACTGCTGCTGCAACACTTTTTCAACCTTCCCGTCAACCATCCGAAATCATCCCGAGGCTCCCGGGATCTCAACTTAAAGCACCA